TCCGCTGGTCATGATGTGGAATACCTGAATCGTGAATTATGATCCATGTATGTTTCATTATTGTGATGAGCGTAAATCACATTACACCACATGGTATTTTCTCTCATATAAAGCTGATTCATCGTAATTCACTGAATATAGTTGAAAGCTGTATAACACCAAACTGACTTGATCTGTCAGCGCCATTGCAATGCTCGGAAGTTTCACCCAAGTCACTTTGGCCTTTCTTCTCGTATTAATTTGATGCCCAGTGACATACCTGAAATACTGTTAAAACAATTAATACAAGCTAATTTGATTCTTCTATTTGTGCGTTTGGTTATATTTAATGATTTATTGATTAATGGTCGATATATCTGGTGATCTTAAAAAAATCGATTCATTCGGTTTTCTTTGGCCATTTAGCATTCATTCCCATGTTTGTTTGTTTTTCATTTTTCGTGCAGGTAATTCTACGCCACAGTCTGTCATATCACAGCTATATCACGTTGGCTGTCAATGATGGAGTATGGTCTAATCAAACTAGTGGTATAAACCACGATCAACACACGTCCTCATCTAGTTGGCTAAATTGCAATTCAACACCGAAATATCCACGGGACTCTTTCTCTTTCAAAGCACCATTGTTTGTAGGCATTCGATGCTGATGCTGGTGAATCAAAGAAAAACACAATGGCGTGCCTGATAATACGTCTTGGCCTATATTTTCAAAACGAATTCTGAAATAAGGGGTATTTGAGTTCAGGCAGATGCAATAATCAAACAACTGATCATAAACAATAATATTTTTTGAGGTCATGAAACAGGAGTTATACATTTTCATCAAAACACCCAAAAACATCAACTTTGTAGCAGTGGGTGAGTGAGTTGGGTTTAACGCCGCTTTAAACAGCATTCCAGTTATATCACGGCGTGTCAGCTTAATGTGGGAGGAAAGCCCGAAGTGATGCAGGTCTCGGACGTTTACCACTTCGGTGAAACCCACGAGCACGGGTATGGTGCTGACAAACCTAGAAACATAATCTGGGCGAACCGGGATTCGAACCCTCAATCATAGGTTTCTGGCGTGCCCAAGTGACACAACTCTGCACAGCGAATCACTGCGAACAAGACGACTGGGCCACCCGTGTCCCCCAACTTTGTGGCAAGTGGTATTGATCAGATAAATGCACTAAGTGCAAGTGGTATTAATCAATTGTCTACAAGCACCGCGATTCATTCAGGCGTGTCGGTCTCACGCTGTACTGTACAAAAGACATTTCTGCGCTTGCATGTGGCCACAGCTAGCTTATTTCCGAGAAAAGATCGTGGACGAGCTCACGGTGCGTAGGGGAAACATGTTGTTTCAGGAGACATATGTTTTTACCAGATTTTGACACAATTGTTTTAATACCATTATCTTGACTTTACATAGCTATTTTTTTTAAATTCTTTGATCGATATATTTGTTTGTTCTGTTATTTATTTTTTCCTGCATTTGTTCATTGCCTTCCATATTATTTGTACCAGAAATACCAGAGTTAATGGCTAGTTTTCACGCAAGAGCCAACAGAGCACATTGACTTAACATAACAAGGCGGTGGGCTAGGCTAATGGTAAAAGCGTTCGGTCGTCACGCCGATGACCACCGTTATATTGCTGAAATATTGCTCATAACGGCCTAAAACCACACTCACCCACTGATAAGAATCACAACAAAGTATTATAGTGCAAAACTACGAAAGCCGAACAATGTCACTTTAGTAGCATATACATATTTTTAAAACGAAATTTCGCGTTATTTAAATTATTTTTTATTTTCTCCAATTTCGATATTTTTCATCGTTACTTCGATTAGATTTTCGTAGTTTCGATTACTTTCTCGTTATTTCAAGCTCATTTTCGAAAACTCGAAATTTCGAGAAAATTATTGCAATAAAGAGAAAATAATCGAAATTCAGAGAACAAAATCGAAATTTCGAGTTTTTTAAATACATTTGAAATAACAAGAAACTAATCTAAATAACGAGAAATTTCGATTTACATACCTCATAGAGAACAGTAAGTGACAGCGCAGATGGGCCCGGAGTGTATGTCGTTGGCAGCGATGTGTCTGGCAGTTGTTCGTCTTCACTGATAAAAACCGGTTCTGTCTGTTCAGAGCTGCTGGAAGACAGCGTGTTTACCATCGAAGGGGAGAACGACCTACGGCATGTTGCGTTCAGGAGGTCGTGCCATATGTTGGAGACCCGTGAAGATCCGGGGTAGAAGACGATGCTTGTCGTAAAAGGCGACTAACAGGATCGGGTGGTCAGACTCGCCGCATTGGTTGATGCATGTCATCGATCCCAATTGCGTGGATCGATGTTCATGATGTCAATCACTGGATTGTCTGGTCCAGACTCGCTTATTTACAGACCGCCGTCATATAGCTGGAAAATATTGCTGAGTTGCCGTGGCCTGCACGCTCCACGGGCCGTCATCCATAGAACACGTCTGGAAGGCCATGGATCGTCGTGTTCGAGAGCCATCACTTCCTCCACCCACCCGACAAGAACTGACCCAAGCCCTCCAAGAAGAATGTCGACGTATCCCACGCGACATCATCTGACGACTGCCTTTTTCTCTGCGCCGCAGTGTTGTTGTGTGGGAATGGTCAAACACGCTATAAATGTGACGTGTCATTGAAGTTTAAATGTTAGATGTGTGTGCCTTTTTCCATTACATTGAAAGCTCGTTTTGCTGCCCCTCTTCAATTCGGATGCCAATAACGGATGATGTGTGACTGTCATTTTTCATGTTAACTTCGTTGAGATTTTGATCTTTTCGATACATTTTACTTCATGTGTCTATCTTTAGTGGCTTCTGAACTAGACTGACATGGGTACAATGTGTGAAGCCCATTTCTGGTGTCCCCCGCCGTGATATTGCTGGAATCTTGCTAAAAGCGGCGTAAAACCATACTCACTCACTCTAAACTAGATGTGAATTAAAACTATTGTAAAGTTTCCTTTGGCCGTCAGTGTATTATCCTTTAGATACAGGCATACATTGCACATGCAAACTAATTATTGGAAGAAATAATTAATGAACGGGAAAACAAGAAATGTAACCTCTGCTTTATGCCATAGATTAAACCCTGAAGCAAACACTATCATTTCTGAAACTTGAAATACTCAGACCAACATAATAGAGAATGTTTATACATATTTTCCAGATGCAGAGACAAATCGAATACTGTCCGTTGTATTTAGCCATGGCAGGATCCGCTAATTGTGGTTTCAAATCCCGGATAAGTACTTGTGATTCACCTGTACCAGACCTGTAATCGTGGCTTACCGATGTGGTTAACACCACCACCGTAGTTTAGTGAATAGAGCGTCTGTCCGGAGAGCAGAATGTGGTTGGTTCGATCCCCTTTGCGGCGTCATACCAAAAGACCTTAAACGATGGTACTTGTTACCCTGCCTGGCGCTCGCCAGGGGATAAAACAAGGATTGGTCCGTATACTCTGTCTTTGGTGGATATCCCTGCATGGTATTTCTGTGGGCTTGCACTATGAAACTATAAAAACCGGCACAAGCAGACACACACTCACACACACACACACACACACACACACACACACACACACACACACACACACACACACACACACACACACACTTTCCGCCCACATTTTGCCGACACCGTGGTGTAACTGAAATACTGTTTAAGGCGCTCTCAAACAGACTCGTTGCGTCCACTACAGGTGATTAGGACCCTGGTGCGACTGTAGTTTGAGTAAATAGGCTCATTCAGGAAAACTTCCTTGTCCGCTTCAAGGCAACTGTTTCGGTATTTGTTCGGAGCCAATCCTGCGTCAACAAAGGATCATGCGTAGACTATAACCATCAGTTAACCATGTAACTGTACAATGGAAATAGCGTTGAGTGTGGCCTGTGTGTTAGGGACTGCGTTTCTTCGGTCCCCTGACAAAAGCCAGCGCTAAATGGCATAACTCAAACACTGTTGCAAGCGGCGTTAAACTTTTAAAACACATTTTCGTTAAACGATTATTTTGCGATGTTTGTTATTCCTGGTATGAAGGTGTCGATTCCCATATAAATAATAAGTTCATTCTCAGTGCAGCGCTGCGTCCAGAAACGGAAACAAGCGGACTATAGAGGGTTCGTATCCCCGATATTGATCCTTGGTTTGCCATTACTATAGCCCCGGTTTCATGTGTTTGATATTTTAGGCATGTCATGATATAACTATAATACCGAATGAGACGGCTAGAACTCACTCCCCCTCCATTCCACTAAGTGACACATTTATGAAATATCTATAACATCAACCCAAAACAATCTTTGAGACCATTGTGTATGACATTTATTAAATCACATATTTTAGTTTTTTTAATAGTAGTCTTCTTTTACAAAATCTGATTTCAAAGCTAAATGAACTCGGAAGTGGCTCTTCTAGATTCACCACTGACAATAAGCTACCCCAATATTAACAAAAGCTCTGTACCCATCAGATGTCATCATCACCACGTTCCTCAAATGGATGGCCTCACCGCTGTGATAGCGCTCAGTTATGTCATGAAACAATTTTCCCTTTGTCGTGGATTTTCCCCTTGCACCTCATTGTACAATACAGTTCAATAGAAACATCCGCTGTCTGTTGCTGATAATCTCTTTTAAGATTAAATATGCACGACCCATTGTGAATATCTCATACATACAACTGCATTGACATAAATCTCTTTGTCGAGAGTAAGCCTTCAAACTTGTACTCAACGTTGCTGTGAATAAATTCGTTGATCGTAAGGACTGCTCGTTCAAACTGACATTTTATACTTTTGTAGTCGTTATGGTTGCGTGTCTTCACTAGAGATTTGTATCAAGGGCGGTTGAAGAAAACTCCGTGCTGCAGGGACCCGTCACAACTATATTTACACTTGTATCAACTTCCTGGTTTCCCTAACCCAATCGCATTGCACCTGCCCATGTGTGTAGAATTGAGCTGAAACTTAGTTCAGTCATGTAAGACGTCGCTAAAGAATATAGCTATACAACAACTTTGGAAAAGAATTTATTCTTCAAAATGCCGGGAAATCATTTTCCGGCAATTTGTGGAATAATTGTATTACTGACATGTGCTTCTTCAAGTTTCATTAACTTTGAACCAGGGTTTGAGTACCAGTACAAGTATGATTCCAATGCAAATGTGAAAAACATTGGAGATTTTCAAGTATTAGCCAAGGTGAGTTGTTGAGTCCTATTTTATTTCCATATTGCTTATTTTTCTCTATTCTGCGTATTCATAATCAAAATATACTAACAGGAAGACATAAGCGAATAGGCCTAAAGGAAATGGTTGACGTTAGATTCAAATCTACCCGTACATCATCAGGTATTCTTTTGCAAAGTAATAACACATGATATACACTGGATGTCGATTTGTGGGGATGAAGCAGAATAGCCAAGGTGAGCTGTGGAGTCCTATTTTATTTCTGTATTGCTTATTTTTCTAAATCTGCGACAAAATGTTATCAAAATATCCTAAAATAAGAAATACGTGAATACGTCTTAAGGAATGCTAAAGATTGACGTAAAAGTCATATGTACCTTACATGACTGGGTATTCTTGGACAACGTAAGTAACACATTAAATAACCTGGATGTCGGTTTGTTGAGAGGAAACAGCCATTCCTAACCCAGTGTGATTGCTGCTTTTTTCCGACAGTTCATATATCAAAATATTTTATTATGTATTTATTCACCTTTATTTAAACAGTTACTATATTCATTTCTCAGTATCTGTTTACCTTAAAGGGTCCTCTATATATTTCGTGTATAGAGAAAGTAACCGAGACCGTAACACAAAACCTAAACAGTGTCTTTTGGAGATGAGCGTCGTTACCAGTATTCAGTGGTCACACATTTTCAGCTTATTTTTGAAAGAAAAACCCGAAGTGATGCAGGTCTTATACGTTTACCACTTAGGTGAAACCCACGAGCTCGGTTATGGTGCTGTCAAATCAAGAATCACAATCAGAGCAAATCTGGAATTCGAACCCACGAGTCTGGTAGATCTCTGGGAAGCAGCTCTACTCAACGATTTGTGGTGTGGCGACTTTACCACCCGTGCTAATATACTTAATACGGCATGAAACGAAATATGAATACTTTCAAATATTAAAGAGAAATAAGTTGTTGGCAGATCACAATTACTCTGATTTGTTGCCATGGTGACGGTGTCATTACCAGGCGATAAGCTAAAACGCAAGAAATCACACACTTTTAATAGTTTCAAAATGGCTGAAACACCTCAAGCCTGAAATCAACTGAACTTCGCGATCGTGACAAGAGAGAAAAGTCGACTCCACCCTACAAACAGGTGACACGTTCTGCATAGGAAACAGAGAACTGTAAACGAACAATCCAATATGCATTTGTACACATCAATATACAATCAAACCAAAGTAGGTGTGAACTTAATTTGATTACAGAAATATTTTTAATGTATGTTAATTATGCAAATAATAGAATAAGGCGCACACACTCCAGCAAGTAGTTTGTGGCAAGAGTATCTATGTACAGTAAACTACGGTTATAACGAACTCAAAGGGACTACTAAATTTAGTTCGTTATAACCGTAGTTCGTTATAAGCATATATACAGCATAACCACAGCAAAAAGTCGGGACCAAAAACGTAAGTTCGTTATATCCATCAGTTCGTTATAAGCGTGTTCGTTATAACCGTAGTTTACTGTATATAGGATAAAATTCAAAGTGAGGTTTACCCCATATTTAAGAATGCTAAAGGGGCACAATGCCCAACTTGCAGAAAATAAAATTCCTATGTAAACCTATTTAAGTCTAGCAATGACAAGGAGATGATGTCTCAAATTACCTTTCATAGACAAGACCTGGCCCCAGATTGAGGAGTGCAGTCCCCCTTTAACAATCAATTCTTTAGAAACAACGAACCTGGGAGGCCGGCTCGTTCATGTAACTATCTTGTAGACATGCTGACATGGTATGAATCAAGATAGGGAAGGGCGTGTATATTGGCCTTCTGGGTGACCTTTGTGCTTCTTTGCTGAATACTGTGACCTTAACAATGTGCACTGGATGAATGTACACGGTAGGTTTTTTTAGCATGAACCGAGAGTTTTCTAGGAAGCGTGGGCTCACCTTTACAATTGTAATTCCAAGAAGTCTCGATTTATTATGCCCGTCACTGGCGACAACAGCGACACAAATAGCTTTGATGAAGACATGAAATCGTTTTGTGCAAACACTGTATCACAGAGGTCATCTAAAAAAAAGTCCATGAATGCCTACCGTATGTTTAGTTTTACAAGTAAGTTGTCACGTGGTGATTTCAGTGCAGATTAGGACCAAATGCATTTTGCTGGTTGTGAAAACACTTTCTAGATCAGTGGGGCGTACACGCTAGAAGCACTCTGATTTCATTCTGATTATTATTGAAACATGGAATAAAGGCGTTGTATTTGCTGATAATTTGTCAAACCCGTGGTGAGACAATGAGTGAGTGAGTATGGTTTTACGCCGCTTTTAGCAATATTCCAGCAATATCACGGCGGGGGACACCAGAAATGGGCTTCACACATTGTACCCATGTCGGGAATCGAACCCGGATTTTCGGCGTGACGAGCGAACGCTTTAACCACTAGGCTACCCGACCGCCCCTGAGACTCAAGTACCCCATGTGGCTGGAGCCAAAGAATATGAGGATCAGGTGGTCTGACCTACCTAATTGTGTGAGGTCTTATCCCCACGGCGTGTATCGATACATCTATGTTATCAGAGTCGGGACAATGCTGGAATAGGCTTACTGGAACATATCACAACAATCACTCTCTAACTCTGTTCTCGAGGGTGGGGTGGATGAAGGGATGAGGTGGTGAATGGTGGTACAATCGAACCCTGTTGTCTCGAACTCGGATCTGTCGAATTCCCGGTTGTGTTGAACACAACATTCACTGACTTACTCTAGAGAGGGCTGGCTTGTGGAGTGAGTGAGTGTGTGAGTATGGTTTTACGCCGCGTTTAGCAATATTCCAGCAATATCACGGCGGGGGACACCAGAAATGGGCTTCACACATTGTACCCATGTCGGGAATCGAACCCGGGTCTTCGGCTTGACATGCGAACGCTTTAACCACTAGGCTCGCCGACCGCCCCTTGGCTTGTGGAAGCTTCATACGTCAATTACGGTAATGTTATATGGCTGATACAGATGTATGAGTAGGGACACACTTAAAGCTTTGACGTTTTAATACAGGTAAAAAATGCAGAGAATGCAGCGCCCTGGGTGATAATATACATGTAGCCACTTAAAGTCACAGCGGTCTTCCATGACGGATCTGAGATAGTCGCTGTGCAGCTCATGTCTGTATTAAACAATCACTTGGTGACTATAAGGGGTCTTTGAAGAGGTGGCTTGAATCCGCTAGGATACACTGCCTGGAGCCCATTTGTAGTGTCTTACGCCATGGTATGACTTGAATAATACTAAAAATGGTGCAAAACCTCGCACACTCATAACAATATGGGCACACACTTTCCAGTTTTCACATTATTATAGCAAATGTTATATAGTAATCTCATTCATTTGATTGAGTAATATTTATAAATATGAGCAGTTGATGAAAATGATCGCATTTATGTTGGTTTTAATCCATTTCGAATAATCTGTTTTCAGTATAGTAATGGTTCGATAACGTTTGTATTGGTCAAATCAAGTTTTCAAGTATATACTGTCTTTTGTCCGGCTGTTTGTTTGCTAATTAAAACCCAGGTTCGAATCTCATCATGGGGCTTCTATTTGTAGCGGCGTCAAACAACACTCACTCGCTTATATTTTGCTTTCAGGTATATCTTTTCAAATTAGGCCTCTCCTCTTAGTAACACAACAAACATTAGTAACACAACAAACATTGTATCTCAATGTAATAAGTTCTCAATAAATTAACTTTCGTACTGCCTTGACACCCTCAAGTGTTTTACAAGTATGGGTTTGTTGACAGTGGTAAAGTGTGTAGCCATTGAAACTACACACGTAGGCTGGAGTTCAGACATAGCGACAGTTGGCTAAGTCTTACTGTATATCATATGAGTCTAGTTAAAGCTGAGATATTAAAAGTAAGAGTATTCTTTTACAGGAATTGACTTCTGTGTGTCAGCGATCGGTTGACATGTCTATCCTTTCCCCGAACACCTGGTGTCATAACTGATTTTCAGTGATCCATTAATATAATTTTCACCGATATTTTAATTATTGAACCAACGGAATCTGTTTCGGCAGATAAACGTGACTCATTACACCTACACCTACACCTACACCTACACCTACACCTACACCTATATGTACACCTACACCTACACCTACATACCTACATGTACACCTACACCCACACCTATATGTACACCTACACCTATATGTACACCTACACCTATATGTACACCTACACCCACACCTATATGTACACCTACACCTACACATATATGTACACCTACACCTACACCTATATGTACACCTACACCTATATGTACACCTACACCTATATGTACACCTACACCTATATGTACACCTACACCTATATGTACACCTACACCTATATGTACACCTACACATATATGTACACCTACATCTACACCTATATCCACACCTACACCTACATCTACACCTATATGTACTGCTACACCTACATGTATACCTACACCTATATGCACACTTACACCTACACCTATATGTACAGCTACACCTATATGTATACGTACACCTATATGCACACTTACACCTACACCTATATGTACACCTACACCTACACCTAAATGTACACCGCACCTACACCTATATGTACACCTACACCTACACCTATATGTACACCGCACCTACACCTATATGTGCACCTACACCTACACCTATATGTACACCTACACCTACACCTATTTGTACACCTACACCTACACCTATATGTACACCTACACCTACACCTATATGTGCACCTACACCTACACCTATATGTACACCTACACCTACACCTATATGTACACCTACACCTACACCTATATGTACACCTACACCTATATGTACACCTAAACCTATATGTACACCTACACATATATGTACACCTACACCTATATGTACACCTACACCTACACCTATATGTACACCTACACCTACACATATATGTACACCTACACCTATATGTACTGCTGCACCTATA